TATTGTAAAAATATATTGTAAACTTCCTCTAAGTTAAATAAAAATTGTTTAAAAAAAAGGAGAAGGTGCAATTAAGAAGCAAAGAGAGCCAGCCTTCAAATCGAAAAGGAGACTATTGCATTATTTTTCAGTCAACAAAGCGGATAGATAACTCCTTAATTTTCTAATAATATCCTTTATTCATAACAACTTTTACATTTACACGAAAACGTCTTCCTCTATCTTCCAAGCCTACTAGATTGAAATTGAATGAAAACAAACAGTTCCGTTTTTTGAAAAATCTAGTTTAATATAATATAAGTGAATTTTGATATAAACTCACCCAATTCGTTGAACTTCGCTCGTTAACTGTTCAAAGGCCAAAATTGTCTGATCCTCTCGTCCGACTATGGTCAAATCTTGATAATCTGAAGCATCTTACCGCTTTCAGACTGCGTGAATGATCCTGGTCTTGGTTGCAAGATGAAGCTCAAAACGTCTTCCTTCTACGTCACATCCGTTCACGGTGACGTCGATAATTTTTTTGAACACACTCAAGTGAAATTCGATCGACTACTCGAGCTTTCTATTAAAGGTTCGTAAGTAGCCTCCCAAGGGGTGCTGCAAGTATGTCTGACCGATTCGTCATGATAGACTATCTATATTCTCTAACTTTTATTATCCGTAGATGATCTTGTTGTGTTATCGACCTATTTCTGGCCTACATCTATCTCCCAGCTACAGAAAAAGTTTGCTTAGCTTTTTTTCTCTCTGCATCAGGAAATATTATTTCAGTCATCTCTTTGAATATTTTCTCTCTCGTGGTTAAAAAGGAAGTTTCTATTTTTCCTTTCTTCTGATTGGCTTATCCATGGAATATCTGACAACCGTTTTTCCATATTTTGCGTACAGACACACACAGGCTACACAGAGAGACAGCCATTTTGTAAGACCCTAGACTAAAGTCAAGGGAACAATTTTAGGATAGAGAATGACCCCATGAATGAAAATATTGTGAAGTCAAACACTAAAATACAGTCAGATGAAAGATAAGAAGAGAGCCCGAGTTCGTGAAACTGTCAAGCGTACGGCAATATTTTTGCGTGCATCTCAGAAAATATTTCAACTTTCGGCATATCGAATGGTGTATGATATGTTGAAATTCTCTTTTTTATTCATAAAGATATTGTCATTTTAATCTCACCGGACAGTTGTATCTCAAAAAATCTCACGAGACATTTTTCTAGTAAAAGTGATTTTTCTCAGGAATGACAAAATATTTTGGGCTTCTAATTTGGGGATATTCTCTACATCATCGTAGGAAAAAAGGATAAGAAAATCGCCGAGAAAACTTGAGTATGAACTGAGATTTCAGAAAAACAAAATCGAAAATCTCGCGGGACATTTAATATGTGAAGCTCGTTTCTAGAAAAGCAATTGTCACTTTTACAGTAAGCAGTGCATTGATCTTTCACTTTTTTTATCAAAATTATTCTCAAACTGTAGACTATCTTTTGGCTATTATCGATAACGATTACGTTTAGTTTTAGCTGAGATACGCGAGATTCAATCTCACGGGACAGAAAAACGCCAAAGTATTTGTAACAATTTATTTGCATAGAAAATTGTCTAAACCTAAACCATTAATATTTTTCGAGAAACTTCTGCTTCAAGTTATTCATAAGAAAGACATTTAGAACTCAATCAGTCTTTAGAAAAAAATTCAAGTTTCAATGGTGGGCGGTGCTAAAACCTGCACCTGCGACAATGCAACCATTATATATCGCCAACAAACGCAACTAGAGAGTTGCCCTTTTTAATGATAGTGGGCAAAGGTTAGACACCTAAAACAAAAATAATTAAAGAAAGTCTATTCAGTATAAGAAACGTTATTGCAATTTTACTTCCCAGATATCGACGGTACAATAGCAGCGCAAATCGCTCAAATGTATTACGACAATAAGTATGCAGTTAGTACGCCTATTCAGTATAGAAACAAAATTTGACTAAACAGTTAACTCAAAGTACTACTATTTCTTTCTCTACATCCCCTATGCGTTCTAGTACAAATTAAGAATTGATGTACTAGTTTTCGTCAGATACGTCTAAAGTTCTAAATTTCTAAAGGAGACGGCCGATAAGGTCATTTTTCAGCCCTTAATATTTTTTATTAAAAACCATCGATTTCTAGGTTACTCAAGATGCTGAACAAAATGGTCTATGTAGTTTTTTGAAATTCAATACTTCGTTTTTTTCGACCTGGGGGGGGGGGGGCCCGCGGGAAATGTGAAAATTTTTTTTGTGCATTTTT